TTTTGAGTCAGAGGCTAGGGTCAGGGTCCCCGAACAAAACCCCACACTCTCCCACTGCCTCGTGGGTCAGGCTTTTGATTCAGAGGTTAGGGTCAGGGTTCCCGAACAAAACCCTACGTCATCCCACTGCCTTGTGGGTCAGACTTTTGAGTCGAAGGCTCAAGGTGAGATACCTCAACCAAACCCCCTTCCTCGACCTGAGCGACCGGGAAGTATCATTTGCCCGCGCAGTTCAGCGTCCACCGATGTCCCTCCGCAACCCCTTCCCACTGCACAAGCAAACGTCGCTGGGCCATTTGACTGTCAGTCATCTGACCGAAGGGCCTTATGCTCCACGCTGCATACAAACCTGAAACAAAATAACACCTTTCTAAATCCACGAGATCCTTTCTAAATAGAAGCTTTTGACGTCCGTACTCTATGTCAAATTGGCAAACAGGCTATGCTAGCTGAAACCTTGTACTCCCTTAAAATTGATGTATGCTGTGTCTTCGAAACACGCATACAAGACCCGAGCGTGGTTCTGCATCTCAGAACGCCAAGGATGAACTCAACTCTTTCACATTTCTCCCTCCGTGTGTCTGGTGACCCAGAAGCGATGACTCGTGGAATATATGGCGTAGGAGTTGCACTCAGCCCCAGAGCTGAACGCGCTTTGCTGGATTGGATCCCAGTGAACAGTCGTCTCTGCGCCGTCCGGTTATCCAGTTCAAGCAAGCTCAATGCCTCGCGGCATAAAGAGCGGTGCCTGTTCGTCGTGTCGGCTTATGCCCCAACGGACTGCAGTTCTGATGCGGAGAAGGATACTTTCTACCGAGAGCTATCCGGGCTCATTCGTCAGGCAAAAAGCACTGACATTGTGATCCTTGCAGAGATGTTACTGCACCCCACATTATAATACGTCTCCACTGCAGGCTTCCGTACGTACCAATGTCATCTATCCTAAGGATCAAGACATAATGTAACCGAACACAATTAATATTATTACCTATTACAGTCGGTCTCGTCCCCAGTTAAATTTCGTACGTGAGGACACCAGACTTTTCATTTCCATCGTTACTGCGCACCTTCGGGTGAATGTCACTGAGCTCCAACTTTACTGTGTGATAGCTTACAGCAACCTCCCACGCACGACTCGATATCTTTCACTTTACTGCCATTGCACTTGACGTATCTGAACCATCACAGCTGAACCCCATATCCATTGGACACTCCATATCGCCTAGCCACCTCAGTCTCTTTGTTTGCTAAGTTTCGAAATTCGTTTGTCGAGGCATCAACGACTTAGTCCATGTATATACTCGACAAGGTGAATTTTGACTGAGAGGCTCAATTCCTGTTACTTGAAGTGGCTGTGTCATATCGGAAACTCCAAGGAACTTTCCTACACCCTATGCCATTTTTCTCACGTTTATTGGAGGCCTAACAAGTTTAGTGTGATCGGATTGGTCTGACCTTTTACTCTTCAGTTTGTACCATTTTGGTTTGTCCTATGTTAATCGTGGTTTTCTTGGGACTCTACGAATACTTGGTTTGGTCAAACAAGTTCGACAGCACTGACCACTCTTTCGTCGTGTCACCCGAACTTTGATCATTTGATCGTTCCCTCTCTGGAACAACTTTATTCATTTGTCAGCTGATCACTGTGTTTTGCCCCGCTTTATCTGTCAACTATTGTAGAACAGACCTTATTCTGTATCCCACTGATGTTTTCTAAACGTTCACGCTACATGCCATGCGATATGTGAGCTCCATTTTTTTAGCAACAAACCACGTAATAGTACTTTGATGAGGACATGGTCGAAAAACCCTCATCGTTTTTATTTATGATGGATTCGGTGACGCCACAATTCTTTTGCTGTGGCACACATGGATCTTGTGCGTGTTTGTTGTGAAGGTTCTAAACGTAAACGAAACTCAAACATTCCAACCTTTCCCACATGATTTTCACGAGCGTCCCAAAAATAACTTATCACTTCGTTCAAAACTATGTTATCCCTCCGTGTCTGTCATCATAGGTATTTCACGTGACCAGGCAGCTGATCTATCCATGTGTATTGTACGATGGTACGACAATGCTAGTGTACTTGTCATCTTCCCTTTCCCGAAACTGTCCGTTCGCTCTGTATTGGCAGCCTTGCCGAAATGAATGTCAGCTACAGCCGCCAATTTTAAATTTACGTACCACCATCAATATCGTCAGTTTTCGCGCAGTAACTCTAGTGCCCATATCGCAATGGTTACCTCATGTGTCTCCGTCCTTTCGTATTCCTCAGTAAGTTGTCCGCACTATGTTAGTGAATGAATGATAGCCTTGTGGAAAAATAAGTTGGTACATATATCTTTCTCTGTCATAGTATTGATTTACGAGTGCTGTGTTGTTCCACTCAATCCCCAGTGACATTCTCGTTTGTCATTTTTATGGCTTTAGATACAACAGGAAAAAATAGATTTGCAGAAAGGCTTACTGTACTTCGAACAACTTCATGGTCGCCCTCAAAATCCGGAGTCAAAACGTATTATGCGTCCCTTTTACGAACGCTATCGTCAAGTTAAACGGCTTTTACGTGCCATTGAAAAGGAAAATGTAATGAAAGAAAATGTGTCTTCCGATCCTGATGGAAACATCCATGATTCCGTCGATAATATCCCAAAACTAGATTTTGTTCAACGGGATACTTCAATCCCGGATCACATGGATCCTGCTGCTGTGCATGTGCAATGTGACTCAGCACTTGACAATCTGTGTTCGGTTGTCTCCATTCACTGCGATACTAGCCCCATGTTACATTTACCGGAACACGAGTTTAATCCTGGGGAAACTAATAATCCAACCAGATTGTCTGCTGAGAATGCCTGTGATTTCCGGTTGGAACCCCCCAGCGGATCGTTTTATCAACGGTAAGTTTGTTGTTAGGTTATCTCGTTCCGTTCACCCTACAGAGCGCTCTTATCTTGGTAGAAGTAATGGACATTTCGTTACGGCAACCTTAGGATGCCTTGCTAGTGTGGGATCACTATGAAATGCATGGGCTTAAATACTGCTGGTATGGCCAGATTAAAATGGATTTAGTTGTGGCCAACAAGCCTTGCTCTCGTTTGAATCAATCCCGAAACTGATCTCTCGTGAACTGCCAGTCATCTGAATTTCATATCTGCAAGCCCCCACCAAGTACGTAAACAAGTATTTTTATGCTCCTCTTTGTCAGTTGTACCATGTGTGGACTCATTTGAACCAGAATTTCTTTACGACCAACTGGCCGGGTGCTCGGATGCAGTTGAATGAAAGTCCTGTATGTCTCAAATTACTCCCTGATGCTTGTCTATACAACCCGTGTTTGCAAGTTAACCAGAAGCTTAATCACTGAAGATTTTAACTGGGACCGTGTGAGGGGAAAGCGATTTGTGGTGAATACTACAGAAGCCACTCAATTTTGTTTCACCCTTTTATCATTTCACTTATCATCCTAATAGACCATAACCTTCCCTTTCTACCTATCAGTATCTACTACTCAAATTTAACTCAAATTAGCACAGCTGTACGCTTGGTTCGACACAGTGGAACCCAGATGTAATTTCTAACTGCGCCGATTTTTCCCACTATAGTGCTTACTACGTGGAATAATTTGTGGGACTGGCCGTTTTCCGTAACATCATTTCCCATGAATATTTTGGCCTCTAAAAGAAATCCGGTTAACGTGAGACTCAGTTAACTGAAGCGCAACCAAGGTTTTTATTGGGTGGACACAAGCACGCATATTGCGTGCAACTGTAAACTCGTTTAACTGATGGGTGCTCTAGCAACCGAGCTATACTGAACACTACCCCACGTTGTGCATGTACACTTCAGTTCACATTTGTTCAACTACAGCAGTGCAAACTACTCACCAAGTACTCCAAACGAGAACGTTACTGACTCGGGCAGAACCATTACGATCATCTCAAAAAAGTTGAGTGTTTCATCGCTCACCTTTCGTATGGCGGGCATCTTTTGCACTGGTGCATAAATGATAGTTCCGATACCCACGGGTGATCGCCACATCTCTGGTTTACTAAACTTGGAATTTTTACATTTAACAACTGTAATCTAATACTTGTGTGGGCTTTCCATGTGGCTCCTGTTCCTGTGCTGATGCACCATCAGATGGGTTGCAGGTCCACTTGTTTTTTCTCATATATTTTATATTGTCAGTCCCACCCCTTCTCCAAGACGTTCCGTTCGCCCCCCTCCCCCCCCCCTCCGAGCGACAATACTTCACCAGCCCAACAATCGAATTCATTTCGTCTCAGCGGGAGCGCTTTCTCCTTAGGCATAATGAAGTGCACCTTACGAAAAAACCTCATGATCCCCCAAGTTTTTCATCACAACTGCACTGATAATGAACAGAATCGAAACGCTTAATTGACAGGCAATGAGTGACGATGGAAACGAACTCCATAAATAACCGTTGAAGAATCTGAACTAAAGACGCCAAAAGTAGAAGGCAGTCACGATTAAATCTTCCGTTACGAATTCCAGTCATCTGAATTTTCCTCTGAACACAGGAAGGCACATAGGACCATTTACAGTGCTTTTTCGGTGGCATGTTTTCTCCAGTGCCACCACGTTTAACCAACTGTCACTCCGATAAAGTCTTGTCGGTTCACCCTTAAAACGAATAGTTTTTGGGTTAGTATTTGTGAACGTTTCATACATCGATTAACATAAGCATGAACTCACTGGTCTCTCCTTCGCTTCCTGCGTCCTTTTGATTCGAATGCATATCTGCATCAGTCGCTGTACTGCTGTCGTTGGCGTTGACATTGCAATTCATATATGAGACTTTCTACCTGTTGCGGACAGTGCGCCTACGCCTCTCCTCTTAGGCCAGACGATCGTTGCTCTCGCTTCGATCGATTATCCAACCCTCTACTTTTATTGCTCTGGTGATGAAAACGTGTGGGTTGTGTTTGCGAGTTTTATAGTGAAATCACGCATGGTGAAAATGTTTATATTGCTTGGATTCACACCCAACGCCGTACGAGATGTGCTATACAGGTTCCCATCTTACCAGAATGCCAAAAGACTGGATATCCCCACAACATTGTACTGGGTAATCGTATTGCTGTAACTTGCTCCAAAAAAATAGCGCAACCTTTTTCCTCATTGTGGTGTTGAATCTCATCATACTTGAAGCAAATACTGTTTTTGCCACTGGGTTGATAAACACAATTCAACGTTCAGTGTGGTTCATGCAACCAGAATAGGTTGACAGTGATTGCTTGCAAGCAGTCCGCAATGTTACCTTAGCCAAGTCCCATTTTCTTCCTTATCAATAAGCAGATTTCTTTGACCTTCTGGCTGCGGTAGGAAATGATTCAACATTAGCTCCCCAAAGTAAGCTTCTCAACGGATGAAAATATCATTGTGCGGTTGTTCCCCGATAAGGTTTGATAATTTAGAACGAACTGTGTTCAGTCGTGAACAAGTACCAAACATAGCCTTTAGTGAGGTACGAAATTTTTTTGTTTCCTGTGTTCATGGACAAGACGACGATTGTTCCAATGAGAGTCATGGGAGTGTCCGTCTACAAAATGTCATACCAGAAATGTACGAGTATACATGGATGAATCAGGAATTAGGACAATTGTAGCGCATTGTTGTGCCTCTGGTCAGTGTTCTCGGAATGTAACGAAAAGTTCTGTTTTTCTGCGAAGAGAGTTAGATTTATTCAAGTAGTGTGATTCCAAATTTACGTGTGTTTCTACCGGCTCCTGAGGATGCCATGAATTTTCATGCGTATCTCAAGACGTTTCACCCATTCCATACTCAGAATAAACGAATCAGGGTGACCCGACGTTCACAAGATTTGAGGCGGGAACTACTATTCAGGTCGCAGACACTGGTGAAGCCGGTCGTATAAATCACCCAGTATTCCAGTGTAAAGAGAACAGAGGACGTAGAACTCGTGAGTACATTCAAGCTGGCTGTCATTCAGTCGAGTAGTCACTCGGCTATATGCAGTTTTCAATGAAAAGAGCAGACCAAAGGACGTGATTTGGCTTGGGAGTGTGCGTGGCCCAAATTAACCAAAATCTTCCGCTAACCAAATTATCGTAGCATTCATTGCCAACCCACAAAGACCAACAAAACGGCCGATCAACACCAGAGAAGTTTTGTCAACTGAATTGCTCCGAACCAGAAAACCAAGATGCCTAACCCCATCAAGCTAATACTAAATCCCTCAACTCATCGTTCACAGAGATGGCCACCTACAGTAAGCAACGCGAACGTTCAGCCGATTTAGTGTGTCAGCCGAAAGTGATCTTACCGGTTTCTTATCCGTCTGTCTTCGAATTCGGTCAGCATAGCAGCTTGCTCAGTTAGTGAAACTTTTGTGTCAAAAGCGGGACGTTTCTCGCTAATCGTTTCTCAGATCTTTGTTAAAGTGGGCTGGGATATCCTACCAGAGAAGTTTCGAAAAGAGTTGGCGGATTTGTTGCTGGACCTTGTTGGGACAGCTCAACAACGCAAGGCAATGGTTCATATTTGTCAGCTGATGAGGATCTGATCTCTGTTTCATAAGGTAGAGCTAGTGAACTGATCAACCCACAATCCTTGGCCCAAGCTAGTTGAGGACCTGCGGGACATATAAGCACGCTAAATCCCATATTTTTCGATATCGGTGTGCGCACAATGTACAAACCTGAGAGGGTCTCTAACCTTAGACTGTGGTGGCTGACCGCTGTTAAATGGGAAGAGAAAACCTTCGGTCAAAATATCTTTCGCTAAATTCAGCGATGTATTCTTCAAGCGAAGTGATGAATTTGTCCTCAACAAACTGTCCTCAACAAACTGACACACTTCTGTGATTTCCTAGCGGCCATTTTCCATAAATTTCCCATTTAACTTTTTACAGTGGATTCAATTCACGTGGTTAGAGCGCGAATCTACTGACCGGATGGTCCGTGGTTCGAACCCGATCTCTGCCACTCGACTTCCCCTGTCTGGGCTTGGGCAACTTGACAGTATCCCAACCCTCGTGCTGCTGTAAATTTTGAAATACATTACTTATCCATTAATCACCTTCGAAATAGTTCCATTCCACCCGCTATGTGTCAAACTCTGGTGGTCCCATAATTCCGTCTCATAAGTATGTTTCACTGCACAGTATATCCTCGTTTTATTGTCATCCGTTTAAAAAGCCCTTCGTAATCTGGTGGTTGCGGCAAACGATTTTGTTGTTGTTTTCCTTACTGGGTTTGCATCCGTCGCACCACTTGCCAGCTTCAGTCAATGACTAGGTGTGTACTGACACGCCATGCAGATACTCTGACCACCGAGCAGATCGACTTACCACACTTGCTCTTTTAGCCATGCCCGTTTAGAAGTACTCCTTAAGTCTGTGTAGTATCTCCTGCATTGACGTACTTAGATATGGGGATCAGACTTTGTCCTGTCTGTACAACCCGAAAACGTACGTGTAAGTCTTAATCATCGTTGCATCACCGATAGCGTAAAAGTAATATGATAGGTTCGTTATGAGGGTACACCAACTCCATCTGCATATTATTTGGAAATTACTCATCCCGGCCGAACTGGCTGGTGGTGTAGATAGACTTGATGACTAGCAAGTTTCCCATTAAGGGCAACTTCCGACCTTTAACTACAATGGCATTTCTGACTCATTGCAGAATCTAACTAGCCCACTGCACGAGCGTATGTGATGCCCTACAAGGTTGCTTTATTTCTCTGGACAATATGTGTATTGTTTTCCCCACTGATTGCCAAGGTAACTCTGATTAAGACCGCCTAGAACGCAGCGAACGGACTGCACAACCCCGTTGATGTGGAAAGAAACTTTGTCACACTTTAGCTGTTTCGTTTTACTGCTTAGGATTTATAACTCAGACCTAGCTGTAAATCAGAAATTCCCCCAAACCAAACGAATGTGTCCAAGGAATATTGCACTGATTCGTGATCAGTAAAATAAAAGTTATGTCCAGTGAGTGCCTTTTATAAAATACGGCATCAGACTCCTTCGACGCTCTCGTATTTCAAAGTTTCCCACTTCGCAATAATGTCACTTTCGCTCATTGCCGTCCTCTTTCAGAAGGCAAAGATAGCTTTATAACGAGGGTGGATTTTTTTAATTACCATCGTAAAGTAAATTTCTGTGTACCATGTGGGCGCACACTCTTGGACCGGGAATTTTTTGCCGTGCTGGTTTTCACACACGTGCAGATGGAAGATTTGCCGTATAATGTCAACATTTCTTCCACTCTCTCCAACGCGGGATGTAAACGGAGAGAATTATGTGTGAGGGGTTAGCAACGAAGTTGAACAGACAGACAAATGCCTGTGAAATTTGATGTCTTCTGACCGTAACCACAGCAACCAGTTGCGTTGCTGCACGGCCATTTGGGTACACAGAATCAGTTGACAAGGTCTGATCAATATAGCTCAACCGGTTAACAAAATGTTGGATGGTAACAGAACTGGAGATCAAGATATCGGACCGATTCAGTGATCAGTTTGCAAGGGATGCACAGTATTCAACAACGCAATTTCGCAGATCTTTTGGTGACGCTGCACGCTTATGGTGTGGCGCGTGTTCTGCTGCATGTTCCAATGGGCGTCGACCTGCTCTGCTGATATGCGTATCTCCGCATCTGGTAAAGGACTGGTAGATTGCGTGTAGATATGATAGACTACCCACACGCCCGTTGAGAACGATTTACCTTTTAATGTGGATAATCTGCAGTTGAACCGCATTGTAAGCTGGCTTCAATCGCTAGTCCATTACTCCTGGACAGCAGAAAGGGCTAGACATCTACGATTTGTAATGGCTTGAGTCACCGTTCCGAAAGGGCGTGGGTCTCGGGGTGAACTTGTGACGTGGTAAAACAACAATGTGAAATCTCATAGAGCCGGCTCGACGCGTACGAACTGGCGGTGGACTTTATTCGGTCGAGGTTGCAGGCAATTCGCGATGTTGTCGTGTGATGCTCGTGGTTGTGGGGTAAACAAGATAATAGACAGTCTATGTGGATGTACTAATAAAATTAGTTCCAGGGCTAAGTAGACAGGAGGGTAGCCGCTACAGATTCTCGCAATATGACTGTTTGCTTTACTGCGGCGCTATGAATTTCAAAGAACTAGTCTGCTGCAAATGCGTTGCCCATTAAAACGAAAGTTTAGGATTAGTTCCAGGCTAAGTAGACAGGAGGGTAGCCGCTACAGATTCTCGCAATATGACTGTTTGCTTTACTGCGGCGCTATGAATTTCAAAGAACTAGTCTGCTGCAAATGCGTTGCCCATTAAAACGAAAGTTTAGGTAGTCTGCCTTCGCGTGTCATTGATACGAAACAGAAAACAATGTTCGTTTTAATGGTTCTCCGACGTGCTACAGATATATCCTCCCTACTATGTCCTCTGCAGTAGTCTACAGTAAGAGTTTCTTTCAGTAAAGGTCGACAGGAATTAATTGCATTGGTCCTTCTACCTCCACACTCAGAGTGTTTCTGAATTCTGCTAGCCAGAATGAATATGGTGCCTTTTTTAACCGAGAGGTTTTTAAGTAAAGGCGTTGATGTTATCCTCGTGTCTTCCCTTTCATCTAACCATTCGTCGCTTTTCTTTGTTCACGACCCATTTCCACGACGTATACCTTAGTGTAAAGCTAAAATAATCCTCAGGTGTGGAGGGCCGCCGATAGACTGCTATTGTGCAAGCCCACGCCTCAAATATACTGGACCTCATCGCAAATGGTGGTTGAGTACCTCTGCAATGCAATGAGCTATACTGAGTGTTGCACTTTGATAACCCCAGAGTTTCTTATACCAGACTGGTCAGTTAATATAGCTCTGACGAAGGCAATTTCCTTGTTCTCAATGTTGGGACTAGAGCAAACACGGCGATTTTTTCCGTAAAAAAGATGTGCTACTGCAGTAATGTCCCGTTACACTCCCCTGCATTTCGGTCACTCTGTTGAGCCGAAGGTTTTAGTTGAAGGACCTAATCGTTTTCCTGACTAGGTATAATCGTCCTGACGGTATCTCATCCTACCAACCGTGAATGTCACAAGCGTATCATAACACGTCGACCGTAGAGTGGTGTCGTCAGTCGGATCGCCTTAATTGCTGCATTCAGCACGGCGGGTAAAAGAAAACCTGCTACTGCTAATGTCTCCGTTCTTACACTTTCACATATTCCCTCTTCCGTCCTACGCCACCCAAATCTGAATACTTAGCCCACCGATCCAAGGACTAGGACTGATAGCTTTATTCGCCATGCATCACACTCAGCTGCGTCTCCTGTGCATCCAGCTGCAGCAGGGGTCTCAAAACACTTCGGACTCTGTTTTCAAACCCCGAAAGCTGGTCTACTCAGTTGCCTCCAATGTTCGCACACTGAGGATAACAAGCAGCTATTGCTCGTACCTGGACACAGGACACAAGTACTGTAGATAAACTGACTGTCCTCTAGCTCTCTTCTAGCTTCCGGCTGGGCACCTCTGGTAATGCGGAGGCCGCCGCAGCAGGAGATACGCAGAAAATATTCAGCACCGTCAACGGTAGTGGCTTTACCATGTTCTACACATGCCGAAACGAGTGTTAGTCCCCGTTCCTCCTTAGGAGTGGCGCAAGCCATGAGATGGACTACGTATGACTTGGTAGAATGGCGTACAAGAGATGACGGAGAGTTTGGAGGCTGTTGGTGCAGTCTGTCTTCCATAATTGGGTCTCTGTGACCCCCCCCCCCACGCAAGGCTAAAAACATTGCAAGAAATGGCGTCCAGCCGAGTTCATCAGAGTTCACGTTATCAGTTTCTTTCCGGATTGACTGAGCACTTGCAGGTATAGACTCCTTGGACTGTCTATGTCAAATACGCCTTTTTTTACAAAATGTCCGTGAACCACTGGTATGCATTGTGGAACCAAACCAAGGTGCTACGTAGTGGCAATGGTAACAGAAGCCATAATGATAAAGTAGTGGTTACTGGTTGGAACAGCCGCCTAGGAGGAAGTTGACTTTGAGTTTGAAGAATACGTGCCACTCATCTTGAGGTAACCTACCCTCTAGCTATCTCCACTTTGCGCGCCACCCCATTTCACGCGATGCCGCCCCTGTCATCTTGCAAACAATAGAAGCTGTTGTTGCTTCAGCCACTAGCCATTGTTTGATGAACTGTTTGAATAATTTGGCGGCTGATGTGACAAAAGTTGTGATTGCGCTCACTATTACGTTCACTTCTGAGCGTCCTCGGTACGCTAGATGGGAGAGGCAGAGAACATTCGATTTGATACATTTTACCATGTGTTCCTAATTTTCCTCTTCAGGGTTTTTCATGTGTAAACTTCAGCGTTACATCCCGTTACATCCCTTTGAAAGGTTTTCATCACCAGTCTTCGTTTTTCTATCACCGATATCCCTCCCTTTAGGTCCATCGTGAATTCGTTTGTGAGTGTCGCGGAAGGTGATTTGCAAGCGGAAAACGAAAGACTCATCAAAAGAAAACACGAACTACAACGCGAACTGAGAGCCTTTGAAAAATCTGTTAGTAGCGTCACTGGTATGTATTCATATCGTATGCAGTCTGGCGTGACATGGTGAAAACTAAATCTATCTTTACGCAGCTGCTGGTGACGCTAACTAAATGTGATTGTCTTCAAAACAGACTGCTTCCGCATTTGCTTGCCACTTTTTCTATAGCAACTGGTCGGACGTGTTATTTGTCACCCATTGAATGATCCTTGCTAAAGAGGCGTCCCATCCTCCTGGCTTAAACTTATTGCACACCTTAGTGGACTTGGTTGCCGGATAGCAGGCGGGAATTTTAACAGTGCCGCATTAGAGCGGATACGCCAAACAAAAACACATCCCAGCCAAAGTGCACACACAATCACGCCCCTACGTACATAAACCTAACACACATGCTTTTCGAATCTGACTGATCTCAGGAACACAGCAGTCGAACGACATGACACCGGCCCCAAATAACACAGCTTTTTCCCGGAACATCGGACTATAACATCTCAGTCAATCGTGCTCTATTTTGAATCAAAACTTCCAATATTCTTGGTATCTCACGCCCAGGGCCCCTGTGCTCAATTAAGTGTATACTCGGCAATTAAGACATTAATCGCATGCTCTGTTGGCCACAATCTTTTAAATTCATGGAACAAAATTTTCACATCTTGTCGGGCTGACTCACTTGTCCACTCCAGGAATGACACTTACTATTTGCCCGACCTCTCTTCCCGCTACCAATATGGTACAAGAAACTTTTACTGAGGTTAGGCTTCACAGTAGCTATATTCACCGCAACGCTCGATCCATGTGAGGGTTTTATAGGTCGAATCCCTGTGATTATCTGCGGTTATCTAATCCAACCGCCAACTAAGTATATGTCAGTGGTACAAAACGGTGTCATCGATTGATGTAGAAAGCATTTCACTCTGGCATAAAATAACGCCTACTGTTCCTTTATAAGTAGTATGAAAGAATTCACCGAATTTCAGTGACATCTTTTGTGACGTACTTTGGTTTCACCGGTAAATTTAGCCAGTGGATTGCAATTGGTGTCTTTAGCCTTTTGGGCTAAAGGAATAAAACTCATTGGTGACAAATTTCTATCGTAGTATTTAATATAATAAGTTCTCATATGCAACGCAGTAACAACTAAGACAAGATGGCTCATGTCATAAACGATGGATGCAATTGAAAACCAAATTGATTTGCAAATGAGTTCACGTGTCCAAACAAGATGGTTCACACTGCATGCTATAGCATGCCCCGTGATAACTCGCTAAACCATTATTTAGTCGCTCCAACCTAGCCGCGACACGCTATCTACAATACTATAGAGGATTTCGTTGCAAGGTGGATGTTCGTTTTGAATGACAGGTCTTAATACACTGCTGGTTGCTTTGTTCACGTCCGACTGAATAGTCCACTGCCAGACCTGTTCATACGTTCATGTGACTCCTCAAACCTCTTGTAAGTCGTATTCTTTGCTCTTCTTGTTCCTTTGCTTGTGTCAAACCCAACCCATTTTCTTGGAGGTATGTTTTAGATGAAACATTTCTGTATTAGCGAAATGTTCAAATATCCTGCTGAAGTGTGTTTTATCAGATGAAGCTTGCCGTAGTTGTTTTCCCATTTCGTTAGCTTGATTGATTATGCCATGTTACCTTATATAGTGTCCTGGTTTATCCTGCAGGACGTCCTCCTACCAAAGCGGAACGTGCGCCGATGAGGGAAAAATATCACGAATATCGCAGTTTAAAGCAAAATCTCCAGCTTCTTTCGGAACGCCTACATCCAACCCCGTTAGGATGAAAGTAACGCAGTAAAGATAAACTCACGACGGGCTGAATCCTTCTGAAAAAGATTCCAGAAGATTTTCGGACGTCACTCGTTTGATAGTCACTTTGGAATCAAAAGTATGACGATCCATGTGAATATCTATCACTTTTTCGGACATACAATCTGCTGGCTCCCAAAGGCTGGAAATGTATAGACTGTTGCCTAGCTGTGGAACACAGCGCCGTTGCATTTATTTTTGCTACAATGACTTTTTTCTTCCCGATTTTTGTCACACTGTGTGCAGGTTTTTACGGTCTTCAAAGCCCCGATAGTTACGTCACTTGCTTTAGAATAAGCTCTCGTGTGCAAGCGAACTCTTTCATCACTTCCTCCAAATCTCAAGCGCGTTGATTTTTAAGCTTATGACTTTAATATTTTGAAACGTCCAGTCAATGAATCCGTAGCTTTTCTGCGACCTTTTCATTATTTCCATCGTTCAGTTCTTTGTACAGATCAATTTTCTGACGATTCGGCCGCAAGTTGGTTTTAAAAGCATGTAAAAGTGAAACTTCAGGCTTCCCTCCTCTTAGACCCTTGAGATAAAACTATGAACTTATTGTCTACAAATATCCTAGGCTTTTGCTGGAATGCGGTTTGTTTATAACAGAACGCGTTTGTGACGTTGAGGGTTAGATGGAAAGGAGAATAAGGACAACTTTGCCCAGGGAGTTGACAGTTGGTGCTGTGCATGAATCAGCAAAGGAACTAATAAACAGAATTTTCTGGTACACACGTGTATCCATTCGTCTTCAGTTGAATGGGGTTTTCGCTGTGTTATAGATCGTAGTGCTAGTGATGAAGAACGTCCATGTAGCTCAAGTGGCCCTACCAAATTCTGTTATTTTCACAATGGGGGAAGCATTCTGTCGTAATCAAGAGGTTATATTCCCATCATTCTTATTATTACCGTTCTGTATCTCAAGAAACAAAGTTTTGACATCCTTAGATGTGTGTACTAATTTTCATCGAACAGTTAAGCTATCATCTGTGTAGCCTTTTACTTGTCCTAGGGGTTCGCGAGATTGACTAATTGTTGGGCTTGTAGGTACGTCGTACGATTGTGTTGTGCTGACCATAGGTCCCCTCGCTGCCCATTTTTTTCCGTTATAAGGCTTTATTCAGATAAATCGACATATTTTTGGGATTGAAGCACTAGTGCTCTCACCTTATGTCAGTCATGACACTGATGTTGGTTACGCCGTACCCAATCCGCGTCGGAAATTTTTTTTTTCAGTTGCAATTTTTGCAAACCACATGGATACTGATGGGTCACAGGGTGAAGTTGGCCACCCGAATTCAGACGCCGATTCCATTAGGGTTTAACTGGGAATATATTGGTGCTGTTGCGGTAGAATATAATTGCAATGGTTGTGCCACACTCACTTTACCTCTGGTTAGGTAAGGTAAGCTGAGCAGAAATGCCAGATCTAGATGCTCCGAAATAGCTTGTATGCCAGTGCAGCACCGAATTCTTATGGATTTGTGAGTCACAGTCATGAAACCCTCATCTACGGACCTTTTGTTCTTGAATAACTCCAAGTGTGGTTTACCTCACATTATACTCACTCTTGAGATATGACGCTATGGTCCCATGTTTTTTCACTTGTGCTTCCTTTCCTGTAGAGTTTTCGATAACGTTGAAACCTACTTCAAACTGCTAAAGCTCTGTTAGATACTCTGAATTGTGTCTGTATCTCTTACCGGAGATTGAAGTGCACTTTTTGTTCCTCCGGCCTTCGATTTGCACTTTAAAGTCTTCCTCACGATTTATTTCCGCGTTGAAAAACGTGCATCTTGTTTTGCTTTCCGTTGGTGACCACCTTTTCATACGAAAGTTTCCTTGTGGGCAGTTTTTGCATTCAGAAACTGAGCAGGTATTCAGGATGCGACATTGACAAGTTTATGAACAAAATCACGAGTTGTTAAACTCTGTTCTTCCGTTGAGAATAACTAGTACATGTGTAGTGTGCGTGTTCGTCAAGTCTCCAGTTCTCTTAAAACGGCCATATCCAATCAGGTGCCCCCCCACAACGCCCTAAAACAGTTATCCCAGGTAGTGAAGAAATCTTACACATTCCGAAGTATGCTGTATTTCCAAATGGTACATCAGGAAGGATTCCACAAATGCACCAGAAACGTCATCCTTGTGCACGGCTAACCAATTTCAGTGATGCTGTTGCTCTCTGTTTATCATTTGTGCTTGAATGTAGGCAATACAGACGGGCCCCAGGTCCCTATTTCTGTCCCATTTTTTCTTTGCATAAAAATCCTCCATTCTGATAAACTGACACGGTCGTACGGCAGTGCAACACCAGTGTTGCTGGCTTTACTGTAATTGTGATTGTTTTATTCGAATTCATCTTTTCAACGCCACAATTGTTGACATTATGGTCGCTCCGAAAGTAGAGTGGCTTGACTTATTTATAGACTAATACTTCTACAGTATCGGAGCAGGATAATATCATGGTTTTAAAGCAGAATTTGTTGTGTGGGGAGATTGGGTTGTTCTTGCACCAAAACCTTTGGGTTCGGGATGTTCAAAGTGTATCCATGAAAACTTAGACTGGGGTGAGGTCACGCAATGGTGAAAGCGCGACTTCACTGACCGGAAGGCCCGTGGATCGAACCCGACTCTGCATCTCGCCTTCTCCTGTCTAGGCGTGTACATCCTGGTGGTCATCGTGCTTTTTTGGGTGGCATGGCAGCTAGACACCGAAAGGGGGTTAAAGATGAACGTTGCCTGCCTTCCCGGATTTTCGACAATGTTCACATTTGGAAAGGGCATGGTCATCCGACTGTTCGGAGTCGTTTAGCATGTCACCCAAGAAAAGCTCTACTCTGATGGATCTGGTGCTGTCTCAGTCAACCCGTCACCTACGAATCTGTACACGGAGAGCAAGATCGAGTACTTCTGATATACATTTCAGTATGAGAAGTGCTCAAAACATCTATCTCCAAACATTGCGCTGCTCGCGAAGTCCCACCTACTTATCCGGCATGTCTCGGTTTGGAAACTATCTCTACAGGCCCTTTTCGGCCAACTGGTAGTGTGTCTTCTCCAACTTGCTTCACTGATCCACTCGTCTTAGTCGTTTATGCTTAATTACTCTACAGGTATTCCATCTTCTCTTGTTATTCTAGGATTTCTTACCACCTTGTCTAAACCCGAAACAGATAAGTCACACCGAAATCCCTTAGTTTTTATATGTTAATCGACCAGTGTATATGTTCATTTTCATGAAGATTATGTGCAGCAGACCGTACTTATTCAGTATGGTTGGAATTTTCGTACCTTTTCTGCCTGACTGTAACTACAGCGTCGATATCGCTGGTATTTTTCAAATCAGTGGCTTTTTTCTCCCAGTCATCCACGTCCATGAAAGACTAACTTCCAAATGTGACCACTTCACTTCAGTTCCTTAAGATTCATCTTGTTACTGAAAGCTTTTGTGGTATCTCACCTCCCAAAAAAGTTTCCTTGGGGCCGATTTTCAAACCAACTGAAATAAGGATGCAACATTTGCATACTGGGCCTTCACGAGCACCCAACAATTAGGTTTCTGGCAAATAAAATGAGATCGAAAACGTTTCTTGAGTTTTTGCGTACCCTACAGCACGATTGCCGCATGTGGGGCACATAACTGCCATATTACCTTCCCTTAAAGATTCCTTCGGTGGTCAGCTGTTTCATAGAAAACAAGTTTTTTCCAAAGACACTGCCTTGGCTGAGTTTCCTTAGGCTAGTCTTCGTGCAAGATGTCGTCTCCGCAGAAGACCACAAAAACTGGAAACTGAAGGGAATATACCCTTCTTGTGAATATTCCTGTGTGATGAGGGAATTTTTATACTTCGGGTGGTTAGTTTCTGTCTTGTAGACGCACTCGCAAGAAATCACGCTGAGAATAGAAAGCTTTCACCCCATATCCGCCCGCAATCCAAGCAGAAACCTTGTTGTCAAGAGGCTAACTTGATAAATAGGTACACCCCTGCTAACAGATGTTTGGTCCATTCGCCTCGCCATCTGCCCTTAGGTCGTAAACATGCCAAATCGGTTAATGTACCAAGTTTCGATTCATGAAATGCCTTCGAAAAACAGGACAAGATCCTGTAGTTTATGGACGTGTCTAGGCGCGTTTTGGCACAGCATGGATGGTTTGTTCCACTCAAAGTCCTATCTGGGAAGAACTGTACTGTCTTGGTAGCGCCGAATGAAAGCAGCTACGGCTAACATCCGCGCTGTGGTTCTCCTACGCCCTCTTCGATGGGGCCCCGCATATCCTCTCAAAAGTGGTCTGTAGATCTGTAAGACACTGCGCGCAGTTCATTCCATTGGTGAACAGAGTGTGACCCTTTGATTCAAACATTTATCCCGGTTGCTTGCGTCGTGTGCCTGGTTTCTGCTGAATAAGATTCTTAAAGGACGCTAGGTCAACTCCACCGGTAACTCCTTACACATATATGATCCTGATGTTTTCATTTCAGTAGTGTTTGAAGATTTGGAAACCCTGCCCTTGTTAGATCCTTTTAAAAACCTCAAGTTCTTCCCAACGAATGTTGCCCACCTTAACTCTCCTAACAAGAGTGTCCTTAATTTATCCTGCATTTACTCGACATTACCTACTGTTAGTGTACCGTGTCGAATGCGTGGTTTTGAATCTTCCTAGAGGATCTTGAGGTCATTTTGAACAAGTACAGCGCTCCTTATCTTTTTGGTGTCAATTTTCCTAAAGTGCGATGAGATCTCAAGTGAAATGTATGGAAAAGTGTTGAGCGATTTCCCGAATGACAGATACTCCGGAATTTGACTCGGAGGTAGTCTACTACAACTACTAAAATAATGTGACGATTTCTGTGTGCATGCGATTTATATCCAAGCATGCCGCCATCCGCTAGTGTGGCTAGTATGAAAAGTGCTTTAATACCCTCATACTCAAACAATCACTTACCCCCTTCACTGTTTATACCCGGCCGTCGGACCCACTCGAATCGGTTCACTGACCGAATAGTCCATGGTTTGTGCATCAATACCATATATACCAGTGTATACTTAAGTGGGCAAGGGCACCCTGAATCAGCTATCAGTTTTGTCTTTTTATTCCACTCTCACAGTATTCTGTATCATGAGGGCAATGAAAATTAGTATTCACCTGGTGGTGGATATTTCTGCACTTCGTATGCATTCGGTTTGGTTAGTCGATCGATTGTTCTAACCGTATTCCAGGTACCCATTCTATTATTATGGCTTTTAGGTGTCACTTACTTCCCAGAGTCAAAACGACGTTGTTATACATCTGCATTTCACCTTTTTGCGAGCTGTGTGTCTATTCCGCATCCATGGAGAGTGGAAAAAATCCAAGTGCGCATTGCCTGCCGTTCATCATTCAGGATCGAAACAAAGAGTCGCATAATAAAAATGGTGCGTGAGCACTTTCCGGTTTGTTCTGCAAATGAAGTTTCGCGCATCGCATTTGAAATCATACGGACTTTGGTTGGCATGGTTTGAATTGCGACCGAATTACATTTGATTCATTCACGGTGAACGTGTAATAATTTTTACATGACTAATGATCTTGCATCTGTCCCTATATGTCGAAACCAACAACTGAAAGGGTGTTATGCGATGTAGTAATTATCTTACCATGCCGATCGGTCGAGGCGTTTATAAGAGCTATCTTGGAGCTCCTCAGAAATGAAAAATAGGCTGAACATGAAGGCTACGCACATGCGTTCAACGCATTTAGCTGGGTGTCTAATGATACCAACACCAAAATTCAGTTACTACACGACATTGTCCGACGCAAATTTACGGGTCAACGTAGGATAACAGGTTAAAAACCGTATTTTTGCGTTTATAAATTTCGCATTCAACATATTGTGTCTTGTTTTCATCTCCGTAATTCAAAACTAAGTTCTGATTGAATCCGACTGGAACAAAGTCCCGATGTTTTACATACCGGACGGGATTTTGTAGTAGTTGTGTTACTCCTGTGTATTTTGTACTTAAAGCTGACTAAACTCTGTATCCACTGTGTATCGTCAGTGAAGACGGCTAGAGAATTTCACTCATGAACAAAGTGACCATATGGAAACATTTCCCTCATAAAAAGAAGCTTCTGGGATACCAGTGTCTCCTGCCAGTTTCCCCTATAGAACAGCCCCCAGAACCACTCAAAAGACGCTCCCTAATTTCGGAAGTGGGGAATTTATCCCCAAAGAATGACCACTACAGTAGTTTAGCAAGGTAACGACCATAATTGCACATAACCGGCTTCTGAGGCCAGAAAAAAAGGCAGTACACGAAAAATAACTGTCTCCCAGAGGTCCGACAGCAACAGTAAATTTCATCCTTGCTGCCCGCACACTAAATTTTATTCCTCTATCCCGGCCGACATACTCGTACAATAAGCAATTATTTAATTTATCTCAGATGCATGAAGCTGTCGTAGTTCGTCTTTACTGGACAGTTATTTTTATTTTTTGCCAACTCTGCAGCATCCTACATCCTAAGTTTGAGTGAGCCATCATAGTCCTACTTCGAATTTCTTTGTGCATCCTGTTTTGCTAGATTTCTTCTTCTGCAGTAGACAACTACAACTAAAGATACACTTCTTTTTTTTACCAAAGAAACGTTCCCGTGAACTACTACTTTGTTTGCTCTGGTAACGTTCTCTATAGAACACTGGGTCCAAGTGACTATGTATTTTAAAAATGGTTGAAACAGCGCTCCATTTGAAAACGCATAAGTGCAGTTTGTTGTTCCTGCTTCCATATATATCCGGCTTCAAAACACTTCCAGGTTTCATGCATCCATGGGAGTAAGAATAAACATCACAACAGGATAGCTTGAACTAAGCTATTATTTCACGCACCTCGTCAATGTTAAGAATTGAAATCAAGGTTATATTAGAAGCTGAGGTGTTTGCGCCAGTGTCGTAAACGTTAAATTCACGGAAAACATGAAGGAGGGTCTTTATACTTGTTTATATTCACATTTTAAGGAAGGAAGACAAGTTAACCGCCAGATAGTTACTCCGTAAACAAACTTGGGCGGGGAAATATTTGAAATTCAAGACCTGTTGCTCAACAGGGTTAAGGGAAGGAATATTTTGCCCTAATAAGGCAGTAGAAAAGTATTTTGAGAACATCCCAACTGTACTGCAGAAAAAAGGCCATATCAGGAGTTCGAAAGACTGCTGAACAGAGGGAGAGACGGACGCCTATAAAAAGTGTCCCCTACACTACCTTTCAGATGGGAGCAGAATAACAGTTGTGTACGGTGGCAATTTAGTCAAACTTCAAAAGGATCAACAAAACACGATGGAATCCCAGGAAACCTAGCCTAAACAAACCGTTTCTCTAGGTTATCTTATTTTTTGTACAAATTTCAACGTATTTGCGGTAGCAGTTGCGTCCAAATAACTGAGAGACAGTTATTGACGACAATTTCAGGGCACGTTCTAAGAAATACAGCGCATGATAACTCGGACGTCTAATCCAGCGCAACTGCTTGACCACTGTTGTATTTCAATAACTTCGAAGAAGCGCGAAGCTTGTTTACTCTCATATACAGTCAGAAAATCGTTAGCCTACTACGCTCCGATGAAGCGGGGCAATTCGAAGCTAACCTAATTTATGTAGACGAGTGGCATTTGTAACCAGCCTTGCTTCCTTTTGTTAAGACTGACATTTGCTCAGACATGCGGCTGCAGGGCTTTTATTCGACATGTTCCGGTTTCTAATGTCCCTTGCTTACTGTATTGCTTTGCTCACCTGTGTGTATAGCTCTCAAATAACTTGTCTGTCACCCCGCCATACCCTTGAGTGTAATTGTATGTAAGAAGCTGACGGGATGGGTAGAATATGTCATTTCAGTCTATTCTGTTATGATACTTCTTCCTGTCACAAACTTTCAGGTTTGTTTGAGTTGAATCACCTGTTACAAATTTTTTGTCTGATTGACCTGGGGACGGATTTACCCTGTTTTTTTAATGGAATAGGCTGACTTGTGCTGGAATTTTCATCCAGTTGGTCAAGTGTGTCTTCTTTGGTGGCTTTTTATTCACCGTCTGTTTTCTCACTCGCATGTTTTCCCTTTGCATACAAATCCTGTGGTTTAAACTTCAGTGGCTGATGCCGTCAGTAAGCTAGCCAGAATTTTTAATGGTGTTTGTCATCGAATCACTGTTCACCAGCTCACTGAACACGAAACGTCTGAAGTAAACTGATGTTAAGTGTCCTTATGATCTTGTAAATTACACCGCTAGCACCTGCTTATATTTTGTGCGACAAAGAATTTACACAAACGGAGCTCCATGTACTTCAAATGCGGCAAAGCTTTCCTTATATCATTTCCATTTTGGTTCAAATAAACCGGCTATACCATGCTGAAGATCGTCGTGAGTTACACAACTTGTTTCTAAGGGCAACCTTTTGACAGCATTTGTCTTAATGCATAGACCTAACTTACCTGACTTAATTAGTCTTAGTCTGCAAAAAAAGATTAATCGCAGATCCTAACTCTTCTTCCGCAAAACATTCCATCCTATTTCACTCATGATACTGTATACGTTTCTCGTTTAAAAATTTCAGATGATGCGCGAACCCCTCCTTAGTATAACATTTTCCTAGTTGGAATGTTTTACACCATAAGGGAATCCAGCAACGAGATATCATCGCCATCGATTGCATTGCTGTAGAGCTTACAAAAGCTATTCGTTTTATGTTATTCCGGTACATCTACCATACATTACTCGTGGGGTCTCAGAATCCACTCAAATTTCAGTGTATTCTCACACTGTTGATGCTTTCTTATGCATCGCGTTTTCGATCATTTGTGGGATAAATGAACAGTAAGCATATTGTTCTTTTGATATCGCGCGTTTCTTCGGGTTTGCGGAATCAAATTCTTCCTGAATTCATCCGTGGTCCACTGAATACATATGCAGGATCAAATCAATGACCCGACAACTGTATCCGTATTCATTATCGTACCTAAAGTTTATATAGGGCCTCAAGCAAGAGAATTCTTACCAAGAGATCAGCTTAACAAACGTGTCGTTTAGTTGAATCCCAGCCTCAGCGTCAAATACCGAAGAAGCTGAACATCCACGAAAGTCCATACTCACCACTTGGTCTTCTGTGTACATCAGAATTCCCTTCATTGGCCCTTCAGCCGCCTCCTTAATAGCAGCCTTTATTTCCTCATATTTTGCTGGCTTTGATAACTTGCACGTTAGGTCAACCACAGAGACATCAGGTGTGGGGACGCGGAGTGCCATTCCTGTAAGCTTCCCATTCAAGTCAGGAATAACCTTTCCGACGGCTCTAGCAGCACCTGTGGAAGCCGGTATAATATTTTGTGCAGCACCTCTGCCATCCCTCCAAAGTTTTCCGGATGGACCATCAACGACTTTTTGGGTGGCTGTATAGGAGTGCACAGTAGTCATTAAACCTTCCTCAATTCCAAAGTTTTCGTGCACAACTTTAGCCAAAGGGGCCAGGCAATTAGTCGTGCACGAGGCATTAGAAACAACGTTCATACATTTGTCGTAAATTTCATGATTAACCCCAACAACGAACATTGGAGCATCAGCAGATGGAGCGGATATAATAACTTTTCGCGCGCGGTTGTTTTTTAGATGGGCCTTAGTTGTATTAGGAAGCAAAACTAATGTAAGTTACCTGAGCTTTATCAATGGTCGTGAAGACACCTGTGGACTCCACGACATACTCAGCCATATCTTTATCCCATGGTATAGTTTCCGGACTTCTTTCGTTGTATACGGAAATCATCATCCCATTGATGCACAACTTTTTCTCACGGATAGATACTTCACCATCAAACGTCCCATGTGTGGAATCATACTTAAACATATAAACCATATACGGTAAGTCAATGAAAGGATCGTTGACGGCCACTACATCTATGGTTCCCTGTTTTACAGCCGCTCTCAGAACTAATCGGCCGATTCGCCCGAAGCCATTTATTCCCACCTTAGGTTTCGACATATCACGGAAATATAGTAAGCTCTCTGAATTATCGCGGTTGTCGTTTCCATGTATCCAGATTGAAACGTTTAAACAAGCCGAAATTCTGGGCCTGCTAGAGTTGTCAGTTTTTGATCGATCGGCTGCCTTGCTGAATTTTCGGTGCCGTTTTAGACTGGGCTTCTAATTTCCACCTCAAGCCAATATCATAACGCATCCTTCTACAACAGCACCCGTGTGCTTTCTGAAGGAGCCTGGGGTTGGACCATAACAACAATGCATAATATACGTACCCATCTCGGTGAAAAGCCCGCGGTCCTCACCACACATCAAACAAGGCTCATTGTCATATCAGCTGGTGTTGCAAGTCGAGTGTTCTGTCGGATACCAGGCATCGGTAGCTCACAAATCACATAAAAATCAACTCCTCTGCATTTAGACCTCCATGTGGACTGAGATTGGCTACCCTGGTTCACCGATGATGGATGCCGAATATGGTTGCATTAGTATTTACTTCTGTGCGCTCCACTGCCTGGTGGCATTTGTGGCTTTTCAGGCTTGCGATGGCTGCAGTTTGTCGGCCACCCGGCTGGTCTGATTTCATAAGCCATTGCAAGGTGAGGACAGCACAAGGGTTGTTCCTTTCCTCTGTTAGTTAATATCCAGAAACAGCTGTTAATAGTTGGAGAAAAAGGCCGGGATAAACACCTGCTACCTGGATCGAAAAGGCACCTGAATACTGAGAGCACGTGAATATAATGAAGCTACTTTACTTGATAAAAGAGACGTGTCCATCTACCGATACCGGCGTCAACCGTCTGGGGGCATTCAAGGGTGCGCATCAAAACAATGGGCTCGTCTATCCTTGCAAGTTCTAACACAATAACACTGCACTCCTAATGGGTTCAAAACAGGAGGTTATGTATGGGAAATCATTCAGCAGACAACTTTTAGAACATGGCCATCGCTTTTCAGGATTCCCCCTCCTGGGTAATGTTACGATGTATGCATATTTTCTCGTGAATCGTACAGAGTCACAACGTGCTCTCTGTGGATTGCTTGTGATCTCCAGGTCGGAGCTTAACCAGTTTCAAGGGACCACCTCCGTTTTCCGGGCGGTTGTTGTTCACACTGCCAAAGTGGAAAGTTCCAAATTCCGCGTAGACTGTCTCAATGCTGTAATTTACTGCCAGTGGAACGTGGGATGAAGCATCTATAGTTTATGGTTCTGGCGCGGTATTTTAGGCCGAGACGCAATATTTGCGCTAGGGATGTAACACTAATGGAACTTACTGTGCCATCTAATCTAGAAGAGCCATACTGCAAAATGTGTTGTTTCTATTATCAAATTACGCCGTTGTTCTGTGTATGTATTACTTTGCGAGAGTGTCACCAATATGGAAATGGTACAAAAGCATTTGCCAACCAAGCAGATCCGTGGCCATCCGCATTTTGCCGCCGCTTTATCAGCAGAAGATGGATTTATGCGTAGTCTTCACCCTCTATCACCCGGGACAAGATAATGGATTAATACACAGGAGCGGACGTTTTGCCTTCTACGGAAATGTACGCAACTAAACACCCGTTAACCGTTACGTCTCGGACCAGGAAGGAATAGAATCTTCATTTACTCATTGTACATTAGCCACATTAAAAGCTCTCACTTAAAACCGTTTGTTGCTTTTGTCTCATCGACATTTACAACGCCTCGGTAACGTTGGAGCGTTTATGTTCTACCGCGAACAAACGGAGGGCCACAAATTCAAGTGCTAGTTATACCAATCCATGTCAGTGTGACTTCAAACGCGAAATTGAAAATGATGAATAAGTCGGACAAATGCCAGCAACATTGACGGAGATCGAAGTGCCTTTTGGTTTGCACCGATCACAAGTTTGGTATAAACGTTATTATTATTATCATCATTATTATTATTGAATGCTGCGTCTAAAAGCAAAAGTTTTCCCTGTATATACAACGCCTTGAAAGAAAGTTATAGATGCCGGATGAGGATCGGCAAGATGAAAGTGTTACACCTCGGAGACCGTATTGGGCGCAAACTAGTGTCCGTGTCTCTCAACCAAGTGTCTTTGGTACCTTATATTGGAAAACGTAGTGAACTGACGACGCAGCCATCAAAATCCCGTGCACTCACCATTATTTTATTTTTTTTTGTGTTTGAATTTCGCTTCTTATTTGGTTCCGCTGTTACCGATGCTCATCACTTCTTGTCAACCAAAGTAAATTTCGCGCCAGACTGAGCGTCTGGTGATTTGTATGCTAAAACAGTCATTGGATAAAAAACTGAAACTCCATAGAAATTTCTATAGATATTCATTCAGAAGAGGTTTCATATAACCACAAAATGATCATTTGTCTTTATTGTATGGGAGAGCTTGGCTTCTAAACTCTATTTCATCGCCTCAAGAAGCTCACATGGAACACAGTGCATCACAACATGAGTTTTTGTCTTTGTCAATACAAGTTCTGCGCGACGTGAGACCGAACGTTACCGAATTGCGAGGCGCGGCTACTCAGTCAAATACAAAGTGGACGCATGACCCTGGCGTTTCGTCCTAAAAATTTACAGCTCGATCAAATGTGAAAGCCCGGAACCTGGGGGTTTACACTTTGGAGCATTAGTTTGTCCCAGAATCATCAAAATTGACTTAATTTGACCATGTTAATATTCAAATGAGTAGAAATCCGCTATATTCACGTTTTTAGTTGCAAAGAAACCTATTTAATCAAGATAGTTTATTTGAATCCGGCGAGTGTGGCAACATTGAGGCGACGTTAATTAACCTGTGTTGCCTGGCGTATAGACAGCAAATTGGAATATAAAATGATGTTTATTCCTAACAGGCTAGTGTCACACGTCGGATGTGATCAGAATAATAATACCAGAATAACAATATCGCACCATAAACTGGAAGCGGGCACCTGTAAACGCATGACATGGAAACATAAAACAAGCCAAAGTTCAACAAAGACAGCAGTGCGCTGATAACGAGGCCTCAGGTCTTCTTCAAAAAGTTAACTACAGCATACACGCAAGGTGCATTGACAAACTGCAATATGCGGAACCGCTGCAAATGTAAAGATCCCCAATGGAAAAAAGAAAGCGGGCCACGGTGCTGGACTTCGCCTGGTAAAGTAAATGCAATGGTCAATTACTTGAGACAACGCGGACGATATTAGCCAACCGCCCCTCCTTTGAGGGCAGAAATGTGATATCCACGAGTGACCCAATAGTAGTATCTGATGCTTAGGAGAACACTACGCAAAGCGGCATCCGGTGTCAGCGACCTCATCAGATCAGACCATGACAAGGCGCAATTGAGAAAGGCCTTTGACTTGGTATTCACCGCGAAGGATTTTCGTAGACCCTCACCAGAGACGAACTCCTCCCGTGTGTAGGGACCACAAAAGGTACTTCCATGGATGCTGCAGGCACCATCACTCGAATTTTTGTACAACATTGTTCTGAGTGTTTTTCGGTCACTGGAGGTAGGAAAAATCTCCATGCTTCGAAGGAAGTGATTGCTAAGTCAATCTACAAATCTGGTGACCGCTACCACCCGGCAGCTACAGACCTAATGCCTAGCTAACGCGTGGTAGAAGTTAATGGAACTTATTCTAAGGCAGGGCGTCTTGACTCACCTCGGTTTCAAAAACCGCATACATTATGGGCAACAAGGATTCTTCCCAAACCAATCTTGCAGAACGAACATGCTTGTGTTTGTGGAGGGCTTCACTGAAGCCAAAAAAGCACTCATATAGCATGCTATATTTTTGACTCCCTAAAAGCACTCGACGATTTCCTGTTCCAAGGGATCAACTCTCATGGTATTCAAAAAGAATCTCGACGCTGGATTAAAGTGTTCTTATTTAAAAACTTTACCAGTGAAAGTAGGCCGAAGCTACTTTTCTTCGGCACTGGTCTCAACTGATGTCCCTGCAGGCACCGCTTTGAAGCCATTATAGTTTCTGATCTACGTCAACCATGTTGTTTGCGAACGAACTTAAATCCTAAATTTCTAACGCCAGCATCCTGAAATGAGTAAATAAGCCGCTTTGTGTAGTCACTGTACTGCCACATTTTTTATATGGCGGGAAGTGTGTCCAAATTTAATTCGGAGGAGAGTCAGCGAGCGCCTTGTGGGGATGGTGAGACGCTTGGACGATACATACCAGTGCCTATTAATGCATATTATCCCATTTTATATCCCCTCAAACTCACCATGTTTTGCGAATCTCCTCCCATCCCCTCATCTTCCCAAGCTTTGAACTTCGGAAGTGTCCGGTTTGGACGACCCGGTTGGCCGATATCCACTCCACCTGGCCTATGATCTACAACCCCGGGATCACTAAGTGGACCAAGAAAACCAACAATCCCATATCGGCTTCGTTCCGGATTGCTTTTTCGACCAGGCTGAAATGGATACCGCTGCCCAATGAACTGCACATCTTGGCCGAATCATCTTAAATGTAGCGTCCGTCACGGGGCTGTCCAAAAACTGAAGCATGTCAGGCCAATGATGGCACGTCACTGCCATACTCAGCTTGATAGAACACCCGCAACTGTTCTAGTCCTCCTCCCAACAGAGCCCTCTTGCCTACTCGTTTCACTGACTGCAAATATGACAAACTCCTCAACTGACCCCATCTGCCTCCATGACCTTCATTCCAACCTGTAGGTCTACTCGTTCGAATTCAACCACCTCTGTATCCCCATCCAACCTAACCCCTGCACCTGACTTCCTTACAAAAGTGCAACCAGTGAGTCTGTTTGTTCTCAGATTGCACCATATTTTTGAGACTAAACATGCCATGTTACACCAATTCGAATTAACTCACCTTCACCTCCACTTTTGCCCGTTGTGATTCCGGCCATTTACCCAACCGCCCAAGATCACTCATGGCCAACAATGGTTTTCAGTTTTAGTTCATCTCAGCCGACTGAGTCCTTGAATTAGTCGGACCTCACGCTCAATGTTTCCTACAAGTTGCAAAAGAAACC